ACTGTGTAACTGCCTCCAGGGTGCTTGACCATTTTCACACAACGTGGTGGGATCATCCCCCTTGCGCANATGTTCGGCATCTTGTGTTTACTTCCTTGCGTACGGATGGCAGCGGCGTATTACTTAATATATTTTCTGGTGCTTTCACTTCCAGAGACAGTTGTAAGTACTGTGTAACTGCCTCCAGGGTGCTTGACCATTTTCACACAACGTGGTGGGATCATCCCCCTTGCGCAGAGTGGGTTCTCCACCCCGCACAACATGATCTACTCGACCTCCATTATGGTTACCGCCAAAAAAAAAACAGAGGTAAAAAACCCCGGTAACCTGGTTGCCGAATTCACGAAGTGAATTGGCTTGTTTTACAACGTCGTTGCCAAGCGACGAAAACCCAATCCCGATGGCAAACACCAGAGGGGGCGGCTTGTTTTACAACGTCGTTGCCAAGCGACGAAAACCCAACCCCGATGGCAAAACACCGGGGGGGGCGGCTTGTTTTACAACGTCGTTGCCAAGCGACGAAAACCCAACCCCGATGGTAAAACACCGGGGGGGGAGGGGGGGCGGATCGTCGGAGGGTGTGTAGCGATCAGTATCCTTCGGAGGGTTGTTCGTTTGATGGAATCGTGATGGATAAAGGATACAATCGGGGAAGTTGGGAAGTTGGGTTAGGGTTGGGGTTAACGATAGGGTCTGTGTCCCCCCTCCCTGTTTTATTTCCTTATAGCCTCTTCGCAGACGGTCTGTAGCCTTGGTGTGGACGAGGCGGGGGGAGATATTGAACAAAAAAAAAATGAGACTGCTTGGTGTGTATTTCCTCTTCTTTTCATTAAATAGGACGCAGGTTGGTTGCAGCGAGAACTGCTGGGAGGTGGGTACAACTCTTGGCAACGATTCACAGCGGTCAAGTATCGAGAGTCGAGGATCTACGGACGTCGAGTTCGGACTAGGCGGATCCTCCGCATGCATCCTCGTGAGAATGTTGGGGGTATAGATTTCGCTGTATCGGAGACGCATGTGCTGGGGTTTATTATCTGCAGACATGAGCCCCGTCAGACGACCGGTCTAGAGACGTGCGGGAGGTCGCCTGTTGTAGATGGCGATGATGGTGAGATGGGAAAGATACAGCAGTGTAGACCGCCTATATCATTGGTTATCCCTTGCGAGCCACTACTGCTGCTTCTGTGCTAAATAGTCTATTGTGGACAAAGATGGAGCTGTATAAAACACACACCACGTGAGGAGGGCAGGCCGCCAGAACGCACAGCAACACTGTGAGCACCCCCGACCTACGGCAACTCAAGAAGAGGTGCCACACGCGGTGATCCCGATCCACTGCAAGCTCGCTGGAATGACAGCCCGCGGCTCGAAACACCAAGATGCACCAGCAGGGCCGCCTCCGCCGAAATTTTGAAAAAAATGTACTTGTAAGAGCTCGTGTGCCTTCCCTGACGACTGAACGAGACTGAACTTGCACGGGATTCTAACGTGGTGCTGGCGGGTTGCTGATTGGTGTGCCCTGTCTCGCCTTCCTCGCGCCAAATTACCGAACATTGCATCACAGGGACGTACGCGTCGTGACATGCAGATATGACGTGGATGATGATCGTCTCGATGAAAATATGTCACTTTTGGCCGCATCCTCTCTTCGACTGAAGCACGCGCATCGCTGTGTCGCGAAACTCTCCTCGAACGGCTTACCTTCGTGATCCTTGCGGACGACCCCTTCGCGTGGTGAAGTACAACGGTGAGCTCGCGCGATGAGAGAGGTGTGACGTCTGTGTGTCAGCTCATGTGTAATCGGCGGAACAACCTGACCAAAACGTTTGTGCAGCAACGCTGACGCAACCTCCCCCCCCACCAAACGGTTCGTTATACGTTGCGTCGCCCCCGCGGGTTGTGCAGGAGAAACAGGGCTTAGTCTCCACCCAGCAGCTCTTGTGTATTGGTTGGCAACCCAAAGCAGTCGCTGCTTTGGGTTGATTGGCGACGAAAGCTGAGCGGCGGGTAGCTCAAGTCCTTGCACGGGTTGGTACGCGAGGAGTTTGGCCAGCAAACTGGGCACCATACAATCGGAAGCGCCTCGGAAGAGGGTGTAAGGTTTGTTTGAGCGTTTTTTCGCCCTCCAAACCAAGCACAGGGCGGCTGGCTACACGCTACATCGGAGAGAGAAGATAAGGCTTGTGGCTTGTGGGTGCGCTCCCGCACTTCATTGGGAGGGAGGCGTCGCGCTGGAGAGCTGTAAGTTCGAAGGCTCAGCCTAGTCGTGGGTGAAGAGGCTTTCAGGCCATCCTAGGCCCCGCTGCTTTCGAGATCAAGCTGCTGGAGGCACGGCGCCACGTTTTCGGGGAGCTTGTTGACCGTATCACGCACCGGACACCACAGGGAGCGCGATGGGGCAGAGCAACAGCAACTTCGAGCTTGCGAGCGAGGCCAGGCGGGCAGCGGAAAGATGTGAGGGTCTCGGGGCGTATTACTCGGGTGTGGTGGGCGCTTTCCTGCCGCGTGCTCTGGGCGTGGTGTGTGTGTGTGTCGTTGGTCCCTGTTTTTCGCTCTCTCACTCCTCTGGTTTCAGAGACTAATTATATAAAATCACCTACAATTTTACTCTCGACTTGCGGCGCTTTGTTTCAGAGAACAGCAGACATTTGTGTGCCGAGTTGTTCCAACAAACTACCCGAGGCTGTGCTGCTGCTGTAGTAGCACCAGGCTACTGTACTCTCCAGACAGGGGAAGATCGGGTTGCTATACTAGCCCTGAAATCCAGACACTCCGATCGAAACACACCGCACGCTCTGAGAGCAGATGGATATATGTACACACATCAAAATGGCCCAAGAAATAGACGCGGTGCAACTCCTCCTCGAAGTATCTCGTAGTATTAGCAAAACCTACCGCCGCGTCCCTTTTGTCCTTCAACCATGGCCACTTCGTTAGGCCGGGTGCACCCGCACACCTGCAGACTTCTTCTTGTCTGAAGTCACTACCAAGGGGCCGCGGCCGCGGACGGCTTCATGAAGTATGCACCAATTCACTTGCCTCTTTTTGGCTTGGAGGCTCGAATTCCAATTCTTCGTCGGGGGATCCCAGCACCAACGAGGTTGCTCAAGTTCTACCCGATGCGTTGTGCGAGCCGTCGTAGGCCCGTAACCTACATACTCTTCTGTTCCAGTTCTTACAGCAGTACCCCCAGACGGTTCCAAAGGTGTTGAACCAAAAAAAAAAAGTGGTGGCGCCGCCGTCGCTGCTGCGCTGCTGCCTCTGTGCAGCTCGAAAATTTGCACTCTTACGACTCTCTTGACGTTAACGATGATGAGATATGAGTGTCCTTTGTTAGTGTGCAAAGAGCGTTCTTGTCCGTTGTCTTTTTCGCGGAAATGGAAGATTGTTGTTGTTTTTGTTGTTTTTCTTCACGTTGAACTCGTGTCAGTTGCTAATCCCAAAATCTAGCAAAGACCCGGTCCGTGGTCACAAAAATGCTAGAGCCATCAAAACACATGTCAATACGTACATGTAAATCGCGGGCTTGTTGCTAATGCCCCGCCCTTCCCTTCATAATCTCCCAGTACCCCGCGAGGCGCGATGCGTTGGTTGAAAGATATACAATATTCAACCCGTCAAGAAAGGCGTGTCGCAGATATGCGTACATAGCAAACGCCGGAGTAACTCTTCCGCCCCGGAGACAGACACAGCAGAGAGGGGTTCCGTCGGAAATGCTTCACTCTCCGTTTCCAGGAAGTACGGCGTCTGTCCTAGGGCGCGGTGCAGTCTTCGAAACCGCGTCCTGAACCTGCGCTGTTGTGGAGGCCGGGAGCAACCAGGAACACTTGCTTAAACAAAGTGCCAGCGATTGCCTGCCTTGAAACGCGGAGAGACCCCCTGCCGCCGCCCGGCCGCCCCTCTTTGAACGAACGGGTGTTCGCGATGCGTCTGCTGCACTTTTATCATTTTATCGTTACGGTGGGGTAAGAATGTCTCCGGCATCTCCGCTTATCGTTGCGGTGCGGTAACAATATTTTCTCACCAGCACACGGGGAGGAAGACCGCTTTGTTTTTACCTGTCCTCGAACACGAGACAGGGTTTATACGGTGCTGTGTGAGCACTGTCAAGTGTTCGTCCCTGACGCGGAGCTCGACCAATCATGTCCGACAAGAGCAGACTCCAAGCGTGGCTCACACTTTTGATAGGTGCAAGCACGTGCTCCCCGGTTAGCGCGGTCGATGCCTGCTAAGCAAGCACGTTCGCACATCCTGACGTTCGCCGTGGATGATTTCCAGTCAGGCGGTGAGGTGCAGCGGCCGCTGTAGAATCATTGTGACTTCAACGGAGGAATCCCTGGGTGTACGGGTTCTCGTTCGTATTGAGCCGCTGCTGCTTTGTAGATAGCACGTTGTTGTGTCGCGAGACGTGACCGACGGAGGCGCTGAGATAGCTGGGGAAATGATTCGCGGCCGAGTCCGGCATGCTTGTGGTTCGTAAGCCTACCAATGCCAGGCGAAAAACAACCAATAGAATCGAGCACGGTAAACCATGTCCGTCAGAGAATTCATGGAAATATCCTTGCAGAGTGTTGAACTACCAAAAAACACCGTCTGCAGCAAAGCCGAGCTTCATGCCTGCCGTAAGAGGCGTAGAGGTGGCACCCCCCCTGAAGAGCGACTTTGAAAGGCCGATTGCTCCACAATCAAGGGGGAGGGGAAAGAGACCGATTCGTCTACGGCGATGCCCTCAACAAGATGCTTCCAAAACGAAGATCCTTGGTGCTGGCACAAGTTTGGTTGCGGAGCAATGGAGCTTTAAAAGTCGCTCTAGGGCGGGGGTGCCATCTCTCCGACTCTCACGGAATACCACGGTACGGCATACGGTACGGTACAGACAAGCTTGGTTGTCGAGGAATCGAGCTTTGACAGTCGTCCCAGGGGGGGTGCCATCTCTCCGCCTCTTCCGGCATCTTCCATCACCTACGGAGGTCGAGCGTTTCTCCCTCCCCGTCAGTCTATTGAAAACCGTCCGCGGTGGGGGAACAGATGGCGTTCGGTGGCAAGCCGACAGGTATCGTGGTTCTGAGGAGAATATGGCGCATTCATTCCCACTGCTTGCGTCTGGTCTTCGTGCGATGGAAGGAGGCTTGGAGTGGCGAGTGCCCCAATTGTGTTTCGGAACGCCGAGTGGTCTTGTGACGGGGGCGTTGTTGCATGCACCTGAATGCGTCAAGGGTCAAGGCGCACTGCCGAGAAACTGCGAAAGCCGATTCTAGAGACGAGCCCGCAGTGGACCGCCGCGTGAACAAAACAAAACCGTTCGTTGTGTGCGTTGAGGCCAAAGGGGAGTGCCTCGGGATTTATTTTAAACGTCCCACAATGAAACCCCCAAAATCCGGTTTTGCTGTCGGTGTTGCTCGTGTTGAGGTTGGAGCGCGGTTCGTGAGCTTGAACCCTGTGACCTTTCGCCTGTCACCGCTGGCGACTGGCGACATTAGTGAAGCTGATACCGTGGCATGTGTCTGCGCTTCGATGCTCCAGACGCTCTCCTTTTGATGTTGCTGGTTGTTTGGACTTGCGTCTGTTTGTTCGTCCGTGTGAAGTCCGTGTGTTCGCGTTTGCGTGTCAGAATCAGACGGCAATGGAAATTAAGATTGATGGCCGCGCTCTGCATTCCACCGAAGGCCGGTTTCAGGGATGTGGGAGCAGCGGGTGGCTACAACGGAAATCGTACCAGGTCTGTGTGGTAAAACGACTGCGGGCGCGCGGGCGAGTGAGATATGTGGTCGTTCGGTCAGATATTTGGTCTTGAACCGTTGATGTTGTCGTCTGCGACCATGCATCAAAATCTGCAGCAGTCGCCGCGTCCATGAGCTCCGCCTCCCTTTCCTCGAACCCGTGTGCAAACCATGTACAGCTTGTAGGTGCTGTACGCTTCCTATATATCTCTCTCAATCTCCCTTTCCCCCTCTCTTTTTCTATTCTTTCGTATCTCTCTCTCCCTCTCGAAAGTAAGTTAACATCACGAGTGCTAATAATACGCACGATAACTGGTTAGAACCGTGTTTCTCTTTGTGGCCTTTTTTCATGCCCGGCACCCCCTGTCTACCCTGTCTACTCGCGTCAACCATGCCTACCAATGAGGTCCAAAGTAAACTGGGCGAGCACGATGTGCTCGTCAACAGCGATGCAACAAGCATCTCTCGGCATACCACCTGAGATGCCGATTCCAGGTGTTTCAAGGCCGAAGGCATATTCTCGCCGATATTGCCTCCTGAGCTGTTGCATCTCTGTATCATGGCACATGATCTCTGCTCATGGCACATGTGCATGCTTTGGGCTTTACCTTTGATAGCACGCTGAGCCTCGGCATTCCACCGGAGAGGCCGATTCCAGACTATTCGCGGGCGCGAACGGACGATGGTGAACAGCTCTCTTGATTCTCCTGACGACGGAGTCATGATCAGGCATGGAACCTCGCCACCGGCGTGTTTTGTGCACGTATCGGTGGTCCTTCCCTCCCCTCGCGTGTAAGCTCTTGCGTCAACAATGTGTGTGAACACGAAGACACGTCGACTAACGTGTATCACGTGCGCAGACACAAGCCACGAACGTGCATCACGTGTGCGAACAGGAAGCCATGATTGCCCCCATGCGTCTCGGCCCGGCCGGCGTTCATCAGCTCTATGTCCTTGTGACTGTTGTACAGCAGTCGATGCGGTGGTATGTCTGGCGTGTGACTGTGGTGAACGCTCTTTTACTAGATATGCCATCCCCCGAGTACAACAGGTACCTGTTTTCCTTTTGGCGAGGCCATGAGGCATGGCACTCCCGCCGGGTCCTTGCTGAGTCTCTTGGGACACTTTTTTTTTTTTTTTTGCTGCTGCTGCTGCTGCTGCTGTTGCTGCTGCTGCTGCTGCTGCTGCTGCTGCTTTCTCTTGATACCTTGTTTATGACGACGATGTCCGTTTTTGTGCCTTGACTCGTGTGGTACCGCCGTGCCTGTCTCACCGTGCTTTTGCAGTCGACGAATGCGAGATAAAGGTGATCAAGGAGACCTTTAAGGACCTCTGCCACGTCAATGGCGGCTCGATGCGGATCGACAAGGAGACCTTCCTGCAATACCTTCCGCTGCCCGGCCTTCTGGGAGGTGAGTGACTTGATCGGTGAAGACATGCCACAGCAACAGCATGGGTGGTACACTTTGCCCCAATCGTATCAGTGCTGCAGCCTGGTGGGAAGGAGCATGGCCATGTCTGTACGTTGGAGCCGTGTCCAACTTACCCATATGCCCTTTTGTTTGTGCTGAGATGGCTCCTTTTCTTTCAGATGTTTGCGTTCACACGCATTGTTTGCCCAACATACAACCGCTCCCGGCGCTTCGCTGCTCTGCCATGTCGGGCTGACCTGGTCTCTTCCCCGTTTCCTTTGCTGGTCGCTCGCCGTACCTTCGATGGGTGTTGGCGGCAAAACTATCGGCAACCTTCACGCTGTTGCAATCCACCCGTGTTGTTGTGTCCTGCGTGACGGGTCGAGAGCAGAGCGCCTATTCGCCGTGTTCGACAAGAAGTCGTCGGGGGAGATAGACTACGAGGAGTTCGTCTGCGGGTTGGCGGTAACCTGCCGGGGGAGCTGGGAAGAGAAGGTGGAGTTCATCTTCAACCTTTACGACATCCACGGGCAGGGCGCCGTCAACCGGGACGAGCTCGCCGCCCTCCTGAACCACGTGCCCAAGTCGATCATGCGCTTCGGCCGGGCGGTCGCCCTCGACGCCACGACAGCCGAGGCCAACCATCACCACCACCATCACACCCAGAACCATGGCAGCAACCACCATCCTCCTCACCGAGAACAGCCACGCCGCTCGTCCGCGCCGGCGTGCGCTTCCGCTTCCGTTGAGCACCACCACCCGGCCGCCCACCACCCCCAACCGACCCACCACGCCGGGCGCCCGCAGCGGCACCCCCCACCGTCCAGCGCGGGGACCATGTCCTCCGCGTTTTCGGCGGGGCGTTGTTCCCCAGACCTCTTGCAGGCGTCCTCGCCGCCCGCGGCGATCGGTGATGGCGGTGGGTTAGATGTTGTTGCTCCCGCTGCTGCTCCTGTTGTTGCTGGTGGTAGTGGTGGTGGTAGTTATACCATCGCCGCCGCCGGTGGGGTAGTGGCGGCGGTGCCGGGGGCCGGGGGCGCCGGGGGGGAAGAGGAAGGCGGAGGAGCGGCGGACTCGTCGCCTCCTGCTCCGTTGTTGACTTGCGGGAACCTGATGCAGCTTCACGCAACGCTGTCGTCGAACGCGGGTAGTGAGCGCGAAGATGGCGTTGCTCGGCCGCCATCGGTGGCGGGGGGCGGAGCCGCTACGGATGCCGAGCGGGGTTGCTGTGGCTACGGCGGCAGCGGCAGCGGCAGCGGCAGCGGCAGCGGCAGCGGCGATGCTGCCGCTGCTGCTGCTGCTGCTACTGATTACGCAGAAAAGGGGGTTACCTCTGAAGCAGAGGGGGTTGCCGCCAATGTAGAGCGGGGTACCGCCACAGCAGAGGGAGTTACCGCCGAAGAGGGAGTTACCGCCGAAGTATCGGCCGCGTTGGAGGCGTTAGCGGCGGCCGCCGCCGCCGCCGCGGCCGCAGATAGTACGAACGAAGCGGCAGAGGCGGTGAAAACGGCGGGGGCGGCGGCGGCCGCTAATAGTTCAGGCGAAGAGGCGGCGGTGAAAACCGATGCCGAAATCGAGGCCGAGAGTGATACGGGGGAACGGGTAGCGGCGGCGGCGGCGGCCGTCGTCGCGGCTTCGGCGACTCCGGGGTCGTGGGTAGCGGTACGGGGTGGGGGGGTCAGTAGTGTTTCATCCCCTAGGGAGGAGAAAGAGGCGGACATCCGCAGCCGCAGCAGTGGCAGCAGCGGCGGCGGTAATGGGAACGGGGTCTCCTCGCCGCCGGTGTTGGCGATGGAAGACGGCAACAACGGTGGGGACGGCGCTGTAACGGCAGCGCCCGATGACGAGGGTCCGGTGTCGGCGACTTCGGGGCCTTCGGCGGCTGCGGTGGCTACGGCGGCTACGGCGGCTGCGACGGCGGCTACGGCGGTCTTTGAGGAAGGGGCGAGGGGGTCGGCCTCTCCACCCCGTGCGGAGAATAGAGAGCCGCCACCCGCGGGAGTGGCGCCGGACAGCGTGGGGGGTGAAGGCGCGGCGGCAGTTGCGGCTGTAGGCGCTGCTGCCCACGCGACCGAGCTGAAGGCAGGGAGTGCTGGGGGCGAAGGGGAGAGCAGCGGCAGGAGCCGGCGCGGGACTGCTCGGTCGGACTCTTCGACGGAAGGCGGGGCTAGCCTCGCCGCCGCGCAGCACCACCCGCACTGGGAAATATTCACCAACAACGACATTGTTGATCAGGTATGTGGACACCCCTTCGGCTCGCCTGCGTGGCTGCGCGTGTAGCTGTAGAGCGTGGTGGGGGTAGTTGACACCACTGCTGTGTCGCACGCCACGTTGGACTGTGGGTGTGTCGTTCTCTGTGGATCTAGTGAAAGAATCCCGTGCTTACTGAAGCTTGGCCGTCAGCCCGTCTAGGAACCGAGAACTGATGGCATGGACAATCCGTGTATCTGTCCATAGGTCGCGGGGAGGGTTTTCTTTCATAAGTTGCCGAAAACACCGATGGTGCGTGAGTTTTGTGAGGCGCGTCGCCTCAGGGAACACTCTTGAGTCGTTATGTGCCCGTTTTGTGGCAGCGTCACCAAGAGGGGACGGCGCGCAAACCTAAGGGCTGTTCCGTGTTGCCCAGTATAGGCACGACGGCTCGTATTTCGCGAGCAGCCCGATCCGATAGAATCTGTTCTGCCTCCTGTTTCCACCAGCTTTTTTGTTTCGTACCCTTCCTGGCCTTCGTTTGACCGCTGTACTTCATGTGTTCCGCGCGTGTTCACTCCACGCTCCATACCGATACAAGGTGGGTCGCCTCCCGAACGTTCATTGACTGGAGTTGTTTGGTTGTGATCAACCCGTGTTCGTCGTTATTCCCTTAAGCTTTGGTCGCACAAGCGCGAAGGGGCGACTAGCGGTCGGGCAGAAGCCAGTGCGCACTGCCAGCTCGTTTTGGTGGTGCTATCTTGTAACCTCTCCTTCTCGTGTCTCTCTTGTCGTGCGTGTGAATCTCTCGTTCCTGCTCTCTCCCTTGTATGTCCTTCTGATGTCTCCTTCCTGTCTGCCTGTCCACCTCCCATGTGCCTGTCTGTCTGTCTGTCTGTCTCTCTCTCTCTCTCTCTCTCTCTCTCTCTCTCTGTCTCTCTGTCTCTCTCTCTCTCTCTCTCTCTCTCTCTCTCTCTGTCTGTCAAAGGCTTTCGAAGAGTGCGACCTCAACCAAACAGGGAAGCTCACCTTTCCCGAGGTATGCCCGTGTATCTGTCTTCGTGTGTAATAAATTCGTGCATTAACTTCGACCGTGGTAGCAGGCCGACCAAGGAATGACGCCAGTCTTGTGGACGGAGAAACAATAAGGCGAACGTGTCTGTGTGCGCTTTTCATGTGTAATGAGCCCACCATGCAGCCGCCTGGTCAGGAGTTCGAAATTGAAGACGACGGAACACCCCGAGAGCGGTGTGTGGCGCACGCAGTCTTGGTGGCGTTTTTTTTTGTTTGTTTCGTCGCGTTTTGTCAGGATTTCTATTTCGCCGCACTTTTATTGCCGTTTCGCCGCCAACATGCCTACGTCCGGTTTTGTTATCTCACTGGTGCGTTCTCATGGCACCTGTACTTTGGTACTCTCTCGCTCTCTTTCGCGCGCGCTCCCGCTGTCGATGTTCATGACAGTTCCGGTTGTGGGTGGAGCGAAACCCTATCGTCACCCAGTTCCTGCAGTCCGTCTTCCCGTACGACGAGCACAGAGAGTGGGGGGACGACCGGAAGCACCTGCCCTTCATTCACAACCGAGACGTGAGGGAGCGTGTACGTTTTATTCTTTGCGCTGTGTGTGTGGCTTCTTTTTTCTTTTTTTGTTCCGTCATCCCGGAGATGAAAATGGCGACTCTATTTTGCACTTGTGCGTACGCGCCTGTCAAGTTGACCGCCGTTTTTTTTCCCTCCCTGACCAATGAGTGAATGCCACCTTATACTTGTCTTGTAGCGTGTGACCTGCGATGACTTGTCGGAGATTGACTGCACGTGCCTGAGGGGTACATAACGAAAAATCCTTGACCATACGCCACCTTTCTCATGTTGGGCCGACCGAGGTTGGGAGGGGGGGGGGGGGGGGG